GATGATTGGGGAGGGAGGGTGAATGAATCCTAGGTCAGTTTCATGGGTGGAATGATCGGTTAATGATGATGTGGTTTATGAGATCAATCGACTGGCAACTAKTACTGCGAATTAACAGATTGATCGACATTTGATGGTGAACTTATCTCCATCCTTCCCACCCCCGTACCCCGTGTCTTGTCGTCCTCTGTGACTGCTTTGGATCCTTCTCTCTCGAATTGCGTAATCGTCGAGGTCTCAGCATGGACTGCGAGTAAATATAAGGTTTCCAGCCCTTCCATGCAGTGTAGATCGTGCTCGCGTCTCGCCTGGGCAGAGAGAGAGAGAGAGAGAGAGAGAGAGAGAGAGAGAGAGAGAGAGAGAGTCTTCCTACTGTTACTGATCTTCTTACTGGATGATGTGGGCGATTAATTGGTCGTGGCTCCTCGCATACGCCCCACCGTCTTATGGGAGTCCGAACGGTTGGCAGCCACCTCCCATAGGACGTACTCATTGTCTGAGGGTAGCACAACCCCGTAAGCGAAACTTTTTTTTTCATTCTTTTTTCCCCCCGGAAAATTTTTAAGTGCGCTTCCTGCACGAGGCCTCCAATTCGCGCACTCACACTCACACTCACACGCACACGCACACGCACACGCACACGCACACGCACACGCACACGCACACGCACACTCACACTCACGCTCACACTCACACTCACGCTCACACTTACCCTCACGCTCACACTCACACTCACGCTCACACTCACACTCACAAGCACACGCACAAGCACACGCACGCTCGCAGAGACACAGTCACGCACGTGCGCACATCCGCACTGGTGCAGACAAGCACACAAACTCAGTCACACAAATCTTTGCACACACCAACGTCCTCACTAAGCACGCGTAGACATTACACGGGAGTACTTGTTCTTCATGGCGAAGTTGATGTTCTTGTCCTTGTGTCTCTGTTTCTTTGTCGTCGTCGTGTTTCATTGCCTTCTCCTTGCGTTCCCCTTTCCCCGGTTCTGTGCTTCGTGTTTGAAATTATTGTATGCATGCGCTATTGATCTGCGTGCTACCGTCTTTCCCCGAACACAACGCACCCTCATTTTGGCTGTATCTGGCCGGAAGTTCTTTTTTTTTTTTTTTTTTCTTTTCTCTTTTGTAACAATTAGCTCCATTCTATTGGTGGAGAGCATCACCTGCTGGAAATGGCCGGAAGTATAACTCGTATACATTCATTTTTAGGGTGCGTTATGTTCGGGGGAATTCTGGTTGGGAAACCCCGACAACCCTCTTCGATTACGTTCTCTTCTTCTTCTGTTTTGTGTCCGTCTGACCGGATCGTGTTGTTGGCTGTCCTGTGGTGTGTGCCTGTAGCTTGAACGATTGGCAGTGGGAAGTTAGTTTGGCTGTGCAGATCGAGATTCCTCCCACACCCAGAGGCAGCGGAGGCTGTAAAAAGAAAAAGAAAAAAAGAAAAAGGAAAGGAACCTCTTGAAGAGTGTGGATGGAAGTTCATTCGCGGTGGGAAGTTAGATTGGCTGTGGAGATCGGGATGGAGGTGGAGGAGGATTGGAGTTCAGTCACGGTGAGATGTTAGTGTCGCAGGGGAGAGCGTGATTCCTCCCCCCAGACACAGAAGCAGCGGAGACTAAGCAGGAAGCAGGGGAGAGTGGGAAAAGGTTTTGCAGAGTGTAAAGTGATAGAGGGAAGCTAAGTTAGTGAGGGCATTTAGTGAGAGACCGTGGGAGGTGGATCCACAAAGGGAGAAGGTGGGTGATCGAACCCTTCCCTTCGCGGCTTCAGCCATTCTCAGCCATTGCTGAAGTTCGTGGGAGAAACGGGATCTGGACCCGTGACGTCTGCTGTCCCGACGCAGACAGAAGAGTCCCCTTGGGAGCTTGGAAGCGATGGGGGAGGTTGATATGATCACGGAGGAGGAGTGGGAGAGATCCCGACGCAGATCGAAGGGTCCTTTGGACGGTGATTACCCAGAACGACAGTCCTCTAGTTCTTCTGAGGATGGCTATTTTTGTACTTCGCGGAGATTGCCAAGCTTGTCGGATGGGATGATAGTCCTGGATGATGACGACGACGATGAAGATGCAGGAGGTTACGCCGACGTCGTGGATCAAGAGCTGAGCGACCCACGTGTTGAGTCTCGTCGTTGCAAGAGGAGAGCTGCTGAGCAGTTCGTGCTTGATATGCTCGGTGATGGCGCTGACGTCAACCTTGGGGTAGTGCGGGATGTGCTGGATCACTTCGAGGGCGATACGCAGAAGAGCGTCGAGACACTGATTAACATATTGTCGGGGGGTGATGGTGTTGAACTGGAGAGGGGTGACATGGGGGGGGGGGGGCAAGTGGTGGTCCCCCCCTTGGACGAGCCGATGAGCTCGCAAGCGTCGTTGTGGGGGTTGTTGATCGGAGGGGAGGAGGATCTTGGGCAGCAATCTGGGGTTGGGGGGGGGAATGAGGCTGTAGCTGAACGAGGAGGCGTAGGGGGGGCCTCGACGTCGGGGAGGGAAGATGAAGAGGAAGAGGAAGAGGGAGAGGGAGAGGAAGAGAAAGAGGACGGATTGTGGAGTGAAGATGCGCTCATCACTCTGATGACAGCGTTTCCACAGTTCGATTACGGGTCCATCGAAGATGTCTTGAACAGGCACCGTGGAGACCTTGAGGCTGCTGGGGTAGAGTTGTTGGAAGCGGGGGACGTTCCGCACCTTCCTCCGCATAGTAAGCAGTTTGACGGTGGTGGTAGAGGGGTGGGTGGGAGATCTGAAGTGGGAGAGCGGGAGGGGAAGGAGGGAAATTCAGTGGCAGTGGCTCTTCGTAGAGGTGGATCAGGGCACTCACAGGAGGTGAGACAAGCAGCTTCAGCTTCCGATACCCATCGCTTGAGATTGCAGCAATCTGTGCTGTGCATTGAGGGTGGCCGTAGTGGGAGTGAGGCTGCAGGAGGAGGGGGTCATCGAGCCCCTGCTGCTGATGCAGGGGGGGTTTCTACTCATTTGTCGACAACTGCTTCCGCTCCCCCCCTTTTACGTGAATCGCAGGATCGTCTTGGCCTTCTTTGCCAAGTGGGCTATTCACCTAGCCTTGGAGAGCAGCAATCGAGTGTGACGAGTAATGAGCTGTACCGTCAACAGCGCGCCAAGTCCCGAGAGTACTTCAGTGCGATGAAGGCACGTGGTCAAGAGGCGGCAGCGGCGTTTGCACGAGGGGATTATAAAACCGCCCAGGGATTCGCAGAGGAGGCGGCGATGTTCAAGAAGCTGGCCCTGCAAGAGAGCAATACGGCAAGCGCTAAGATTTTCATGGTTAAGAACAAGGCGATCAGAAACACGATAAGCATCGACCTTCATCAGCAGCATGTCGATGAGGCCTTGCGCTACTTGGAGCTGCATCTTCAGCTTTTGTCTGCGATTCCATCCGTCGAGTATTTGTTATTGATCACAGGGAAAGGAAAGCACAGCCAGCGGAAAGTGGCAAAGATTAAACCTGCCGTCATTGAATATCTTCGAAAGCAGGGTATCCCCTGGTCGGAGCAAAATGGGGGCGGCTGCCTACGGATCAAGATCGACGGTGTGTGTCCCATCATTAGTAAGCGTGCGATGCCAGTAAAGTGAGGACTGGCTGGGGGGGGATAACTGATAATAATTGAGTTATATTTGTGCAACGATGATGAGGGCATAGTCACGGTAGGACTTTTTCGACTCAGCTCTGGCCGTGTTTACGGTCAGATACATACCGATATCGTGGGAGGGAGATAACTGCGGTCGGTAAGAAGGTACATCCAGGAAGGTGCTGGTGTGAATACGCTCTGAGTACTCGCTTCTTTTTTTCAAAGAAAGGGATCGGGACAGATGGAGATTGACCGGATGGTCAGTGAAGTGCAGATCGGGACAGACCGGGAGAGTGACCATGAGACAACAGTGAAGTGCAGTCCTTCGCCTTTACCAGTTTGTAGCGGGAAGCTTGGGATTGAAACTGCAAAGAGAGAGGCGCCGAGTACCAAACCAAGTAGGGGATCCCAAAAGATTGGTGTACATAAGTTGAGCAAGAACCAATGCGGAGATGAAGCGCGGGAAGAGGTGAGGTGTTGGTAGAGGATAAGCAGGGGCAGCTGGACGCAGGYTTCTATCGTTAGAGAGTTGACGATACAGAGAGATGCAGCGTTTCTTGTCTCAGGAAAAGTGAGAGTTGAAAGGTATGTGTTTGTGTGGGTGTGGGTGTTTGTGTGTGTGTGTGTGTG